TTCTCCCCTAAACTACTGATGGGATCTGGAAATGGAACGAGTTTCATCTATAAGGACAATACTTTAAGAGTGAGATAGACAGACACAAGATTGGAGCCCACTTCTTCCTGTGTAAACATACACGTGAAGGGAAGGAGCTGGCCAGGACTGTTCAGCACCCAGAGAACTCAGGTTCTATCAAAGACAGGAGGGACCAAAGTCATTGGACACAGAGCCAGCGTTCACTCAAGAAAGTGTTCTGTTCCCCAAAGTATACATATGTACACTTTTATCTTTGACTTTGGGAACACTAGCCAGACTTCTGGACTTTAAATAAGCATTATTCTTAGAATGGTTGCTAGTTCTGAACTTGTGACTCGCCCTGACTTCTCAGCTGACCTTGCATCTCTCAAAATTATTTTCTTTCAGCAAAGAGTGGATTTTCTTCAGCTGATGATAAACTCCCAGAATTCCAAAATCAAAGAATCTCATAAAGGTAAGCAAGGATGTTTCATGTTTAATGATGGAGAACTTGAGTCAGGAGTCTGTTCTAGAAATATGAAGGAGGCTTTTCAAGTAGATTAATATGCCTCAAAACTGAAAACAAACAATTACAACTTTCTCAAACACAACCCAAACCAACCCAACCCGACCCGACCCGACCCGACCCGACCCGACCCAACCTAATCCATAGATGTAGCCAGCAGCCAGAAGAACTTTACAGAAGCACAGGATGATTACTGTGTTCAAATCCTGAAGCGCAGCCATAGCATGTGCTTCAGGCCTGGAGGTCATCAGTGGTCTCGATCTTGTACAACAGAACGAATAGACTAACTGAGTCAGAAGCTGTCCCTGGAGATTTGCATTTAGACATCCAGCATACCCCCAGAGTGGTGATAGTCACCGGAAATACAGGGTACTAGTTTACCCAGTACTTGATTTACAGTCAAGCTTTGGTTTCTTGTCTAGTTTATAAGGAATGTGTGGAGAAAGACTTGGTACTAAGCACGTATACAACTCCTCTTTACAGTTTTCTCTCTGCTCATTTCCTATCATAGGTGGCTTTTGAGAAAACCATTGCTGTGATAGTTGAAGAAAGATGTCTTTCTAATTACACTACGTCCCATGCAGCTATCAGTTATGTTCCATATAAGACAGGGACAAGCTGCCCACTTTCTTGGTTTCATTTAAAAAGTAGTTAACAAGGTTTAGAGAAATTATAGGCATATAGTCAACTTCAGCTGAATATATACAGGCTATATTCCCACTCTCTTATGTGCAAGGCCACACATTCTTTTTAGAATATATCTTAGAAATTCACTTATTTTGTTTGTTTTTGTATATGGGCATGCACATGCAATGGTGTGAGTGTGAAGCTCAGAGGACAACTTGCATGAGACTGTCCTCTCCTTCCACCCTTATGGGTTCATCGAATGGAAGTCAGTTCATTGGGTTTGGCCCTTTATCTGCTGAGCCGTCTTTCTGGACCATCATGGTCTCCCTTTTAATTAATTAATTAATTAATTAATTAATCCCAATATCAGTTCTCCTCTCCTCTCACAGCTCCTCCCCCCAATTCCCCTCCTTTTCTTTTGAGAATGGAGAGCACGCCCTCTAATGGTGAGCATGCTCACCTTGGCACATGAAGTCAATGTAGGAATATGTGCACCCTCTCTCACTGAGGCCAGACAAGACAGCTCAGTTAGGGGAATGGGATGTACAGGCAGGAAACAGATTTACAAATAGCCCCTGCTCTAGTTGTTGGGGGATTCATATGAAGACCAAGCTGCAACTCTGCTACATATTTGCAGTGTGTGTGTGTGTATGTGTGTGTGTGTGTGTGTGTGTGTGTGTGTGTGATAGGTCCAGCTCCTGCTTGCTTTTTGGTTGGTGGTTCAGTCTCTGGGAGCCCCCAAGGGTTCAGCTTAGTTGACTCTGTTGGTCTTCCTGCGGAGTCCCTATCCTCTTTGGGTCCCTCAATCCTTCCTCCACCTCTTTCATGGGACTCCACCTCTTTCATGGGACTCTTTCTTCTTTTATTGTCGGTCTCTGCATCTGTTTTGGTCAGCTGTTGGGTGGACCTCTTAGAGGACAGTTATGCTAGGATCCTGCCTGCAAGCATAACAGTATCATTAATAGTGTTCAGGATTAGTTCTTGCCCATGGGATGGGTTTCAAGGTGGGCCAGTCATTGATTGGACATTTCTTCTCTCTTTGCTCTATCTTTGTCTCTGCACATCTTGAAGGCAGGACACACTTTTGGTAGGTTTTGTGGATGGGTTGTTGTTCTTATCTCTCCACTGGGTGTCCTGCCTGGCTACAGGAAGTGGCATCTTCAGGATCTATATCCCCAACTTCTAGGAGTTTCAGCTAGACTCACCCTGGGGCCTACCCCATTCCAATCTTGGGTTTCCGGCATGTCCTAGAAATGCCTCATCCCCACCAATTTCCATTCTTTCTCCTCTGCTCTCCCCAAATGCAATCCCTCTGTCCACTCTGCTTCCCTCCCCATTTCTTTACCACCCAGTTCCCCCCCATCTAACTCTTATATTAATTTTGTTTCTCCTTCTGAGAAAGATTCAATCAACCTCCCTTGGGCACTCCTTGTTATTTGGCTTCTTTGGGTCTGTGGTTTGTAGCATGGCTATTTTATACTTTGTGGCTAATATCCACTTATAATGTCTACATATTATGCATGTCCTTTTTGGTCTGGGTTTCCTTATTCAGGATGATATTTTCTAGTTCCATCCATATGCTTACAAAATTAACGATAGCTTTGCTTTTAATAGCTGAGTAATATTCCAGTGTGTATCACATTTTCTTTATCCATTCTTTAGTTGAGGGGCATCTAGGTTGTTTCCAGTTTCTGGCTATTATGAATAACACTGCTATGAGCATGATTGAGCAAGTATACTTGTGGATGGTGAGTATCTTTTGGGTATATGTCCAGGAGCAGAATAGTTTGGTCTTGAGGTAGAACTATTTGCAAATTTCTCCAAAAACATCAGATTGATTTCCAGAGTGTTTGTACATGTTTGCATTCCTAGCAGCAATGGAGGAGTGTTCCCCTTGATTCACATTCTTGGCAGCATGTGCTGTTCCTTGAGATTTTGATCTTAGACATTCTGACTACTGTAAGGTGGAATCTCAGGGTCATTTTGATTTGCATTTTCCTGAGGATAAATCTAAGGATATTGAACATTTAAGTGTTTCTTGTCCATTAGAGATTCGTCTGTTGAGAATTCTGTTTAGTTCTGTATCTCATTTTAAAAATTGCGTTATTTGGATTGTTGGTGTCTAACTTCCTGAGTTCTTTATATATTTTGGATATTAGTCCTCTGCCAGAAGTAGGGTTATTGAAAATCTTTTCTCAATCTGTAGGCTGCCATTTTGTTCTATTGACAATGTCCTCTGACTTACAGAAGCTTTTCAGTGTCATGAGGTTCCATTTATTTATTATTGATCTTAGTGCCTGAGCAATTGGTGTTCTTTTCACAAAGTTGCTTCCTTCACCAACGTGTTCAAGGCTATTTTTCTCTTTCTGTTTTATTAGAGTTACTGTATCTGGTTTTACATTGAGTTCTTTGATCCACATGGACTTGAGTTTTGTGTAGGGTGATAAATATGTATCTATCTGTATTCTTCTACATACAGACATCTGCTAGACCAGCACCATTTGTTGAAGATGCTTTCCTTTTTCCATTGTATGATTTTACCTTCTTTGTCAAAATCACGTGTCTGTAGGTGTTTGGATTTATTTCTGGGTCTTAAGTTCTATTCCATTGATCAATCTGTTTGTTTCTGTACCAATACCATGCAGTTTTTATTACTATTGCTTTGTAGTACAGCTTGAAGACAGGGATGGTGATTCTTCTAGTTTTTATTGTATAGGATTGTTTTAGCTATCTTGGGGTTTTGTTTTTTTGATATGAGATTGAGAATCATCCTTTCAAGGTGTGTAAATACTTGTGTTGGAATTTTGATGGGAATTGCATTGAATCTCTATATTGTTTTTGGTAAGATGGCCATTTTCACTATGTTAATCCCACTGATCCATGAGCATGGGATATCTTTCCATCTTTTGATCTCTTCTTCAATTTCTTTCTTCAGAGACTTTAAGTTCTTTCATAGAGGTCTTTCACTTGCTTGGTTAGAGTTACACCAAGATATTTTATATTATTTGTGTCTATTGTGAAGGGTATTGTTTCCTATTTTCTTTCTCAGCCCATTTATTTTTTTTTGCATAAAGGAGGGCTTCTGAGTTTTTGGCACTCTCCCATTTTTAACGTTCCTCAGTGGAGTATGCTTGCTATGAGTAATGAACTTGCATGTTAGTATTATCCCTGAAAGATCATAGTTACAGTTAGAGTTTGTTCTTGGCCTTGTCTATTTTTTGGAGTTGACAAATTTATACTGATATAGCACACCAGAGCAATACACAAAGTGTTCTGTGTCATTTCTACATCTTTATAAACCATCTTCCTTTCTGTTGCAAGATATTTTAGATTTATGCTAAATTTTTTCATACAGGCCTGATATCAGATTTGCTTAAAGTTTCTAATTTCAGTGTGAAATGAAATTTCAACTCCCAATATGAGACATGGGACCTAGATGTAATTATTTTCTGGGAATCTAGAATTCTTTCCATGGACAAAATTACGAAAATGAAGTATAAATCCATGGAACATAGAAAAACATTTTTTCCCCGGTGCTGCCATTAGTCAACATGATCAAGAAAGAGCTTTGGGTGGGGGAGACATGGTTTAGTGGGTAATGTGCTTGCCTTGCCAATGTGAGAATTTGTGTTCAGTTTCTACAACCCATGTTAAGGGGGAGTGCAGTGGCTCAGAATGGTACCATGAGAGGTAGAGTGGTGTCTGTGTGTGTTTGTGTGTATGTGCATGTGTGTATTTGTGTGTGTGTGTGAGATATGAATGTGTGTATACATGTTTGCTGGTGTATAGACCCACAGATATGTGCATGTTAATAGAGGCCTAGGCCAGATGTCAGGGATCATACTCGATTGCTCTTCTGTCTTAATCCTGGAAGCAGGGTCTCTCAATGAAATTCAGAACTAACAGATTTGGATAGTCTCACTAGCCAGCTTGCTCTTGTAATTCTCTATCTCTACCTTCTGAGGCTGGAATTACATGCAAGGCCTCTGTGCTTAACTGACGTTTAAGTGGGCTATGGGATTGGAAAAATAAATTTCTGTATTCACATTCAATGATATAATCTCCTGTATTCATTCTCTCTGTGTGTCTTTGTGTTTCTGAGCCTGCCTCTCTGTCTCTCTCTGTCTCTCTCTGTCTCTCTCTGTCTGTCTCTGTCTCTGTCTGTCTCTGTCTCTGTCTCTCTCTCTTTCTCTCACCCTCTTTCCGTCAATGGCAGTGAGGAAAAATCGGGAGGGAATAAGTTCACCATTTGGACCAAACAGGAAGAGTAGTTAATTTATTGAGCGCATTGTAAGGGGGTAAGAGGAGATGTGAAGTAACTAGAGTCCTGTCTGAAGTAGAGGTTAATGTGCTGAGGGAGTGTCCACTCTAAAGAACTTGGACTATGAATGGCATTAAGTATAGTTTCATTGCATAAGATTCATACCATATGATTATGGGCAAGTTTATACTTGACTGGGTAGTTTATACTTTAAAATAAGTTAACATGAGTCATTGTGCATGTAATTTTTGTTGTAATCCTTGCCTTGTAAAGAAGAGCCATGCAAATAAGGATCAAACACATAAAGACAGTTCTGCTTTGTCTAAGTTCAGGCTTAGTCAAAAGCTTGGGTTTTGTGGCACAGGACTTGAGTTCACAGTGTCATGGTACAGCACTCCACAGAGTCAGTCTAGTTGCTGGTGAGGTTTCTTCCATTTGAGATTATCTTCAAAAATTCTCTAATGAGGATAAATTTATCAAAATATTGTTAGTCATTACCCTTTAAATACAAGAATGATTTTCTAATTTATATCAGTGTATGTCTGTGTGTCTGTGAGAATGTATGGGTTTAGGTGTCTGGGAGGTCAGAGTTGGGTATCAGATCCCCTGGAGCTGGAATTACAGGTTGTTTGAGCTGCCCACAACTGAACTCAGGTCCTTTGCAAGTAGAGCCTAAACTCTTAATAGACTGAGCTATTTCTCCAGCCCAGCACTCAATACTCCATGGCTATTCCTGTTCCTTTTTAACTCCCCTAATTTCTGAGTTTCAAATTTTAAAGACTAGCATTCCTTGTTTGTCCAATAGATTATGCATATAAATACTATAGCTCTTGAAAGTTCAGATTCTGACCAGGGATATGTGTTTTTTTAATTATTTTTTTATTGGATATTTTATTTACATTTCAGATGTTATCCCCATTCCCCCCAACCAGAATTCCCTCCTCCTGCTTCTGTGAGGATGTGCTCCCACCAACCCACTCACTCCTACCTCCTCGCCCTCAAGTTCCACCACACTGGGGCATCCAGCCTTCACCGGACCAAGGACTTCCTCTCCCACCTATGTCCGATAAGGCCATCCTCCTGTGGGGTGCTTTTGACACTACCAAGTACCTTCCTGTTGTTGCTACTGGTCCATACACCAACTTTAAGCCCTATTGCCCCAGGTTTCTTAAGACAGGTATAGCTCATGGATATGCTCATGTTCTGTACACTCAAGCTTTTCTATTGCATACTCATTCAAAACATTTCATAGTTTTTATGTGGGTGCTGGGAATTCAAACTAAAGTCCCCATGTTTACAGAGCAAATACTTTTACTTACTGGACCATTTCCCTCACCTGGGAAGGCTTCTTCATCTAAGTAAAATAGATGATAGAATTTTCCCTTAAGAAAAATTAAATTAATCTGTCTAAAACTAAGCTTGAGTTCATGGCTACATGTACAGCTACAAAATTGGAGAATGGAGACAGAAGGCCTCAGAGCTCAGTGGCCAGCCAAACTAGCTGAAATGATGAGATTTTAGTTCAGTAAGAAACCCTATCCCAAAGTAATGACAGAGAATGATGAAGGAAGACGCAAGAAGTCCTGTTTTGAGTCTATGTCCACATTCACTTGTCTACTCATTTGCATACCCACCTACCCTGAGCTCCCAGGGTCTAAACCACCACCCTGGGAGCACAAAGGGAGGGACCCATGACTCCAACTTTATATGTAGAGGAGGATGGCCTAGTCAGGCGTGGGTGGAGAGGAGATCCTTGGTCCTGTGAAGGCTAGATGCCTCCGTGTGGGGGAATTCAAGGATGGGGAGGTGGGAGAGGGTGCGTGGGTGCACATAGTGGGTATGTGTCCTACACATACCCACTATGTGTATGAGTGCAAATATGCATGCACACACATTCAAATAAAATAAGACTTAACAAAAAGCTTAAAATGGAACATACTGAAAGCTAAAAAATATTGTACCAGCCTTTTAGCAATTGAGAATTTATGATTTCTATTCTTACAAAGAGATAACATTTAAATTGAACAAAACAAGGTATATATTTCTAGTTATCTATGGGCATACTGAAGAAAACTGTGTACATTACACAGAAATGCTTCCTCTTGCGATTTCTCAGCTGGGGAGATATTGAGGATGTCAGAATGCAGAGATGGCCAAGAGGATTGTAGACCTTAAGGAAGCTGTACAAAAATGAGTTTCCCATTTCAATTCCTTAGAATGAAGCCCCCTGCAATGTGACTTTGAATTGCTTTTTCATGATCTTTTTAGGGATTTGAGATATTAGTTGGGTTGTTTTTCATGTAAATAATGATTTTTTTATTTCCCCCTTTTTGAATTGGACATTTTATTTATATTTCAGATGTTATCCTCTTTCCTCATTTCCCCCCACACAGAAACCCCTATCTCACCCCCTCCTCCTGCTTCTATGAGGATGTGCCCCCAACCACCGACTCCCGACTCCCCATCCTCAAATTTCCCCACACGGGGGCATCCATCCTTCATAGGACCAAGGATCTCCTCTCCCACCTATGCCTGACTAGGCCATCCTCCTCTACATATAAAGTTGGAGTCATAGGTCCCTCCCTTTGTGCTCCCAGGCTGGTGGTTTAGACCCTGGGAGCTCTGGTTGGTTGGTATTGTTGCTCTCCCCATGGGACCACAAACCCTTTCAGCTTTTTCAGTCTTCTCTCTAACTCCTCCATTGGGAACCCCATGATCAGTTCAATGGTTAGCTTTGAGCATCTGCCTTTGTATATGTCAGGCTCTGGCAGACCTCTAAGGGGACAGCTATATTGGGCTCCTGTCAGCATGCACTTCCTGACATCTACATCGGTGTCTACCTTTGGTGACTGCACATGGGATTGATACCCAGGTGGAACAGTCTCCAGACAACCCCTCCTTCAGTTTCTGTCTCATACTTTGTCTCCATATTTGCTCCCATGAGCATTTTTCTACTCCTTCTAAGAAGGACCGAAGCACCTATACTTTGGTCTTCCTTCTTCATGAGATTCATGTGGTCTGTGAGTTGTATCTTGGGTATTGTGAGCTATAGGCTAATATCCAATTATCAGTGAGTGCATACCATATGTGTTCTTTTGTGATTGGGTTACCTCAATCAGGATGATATTTTCTAGTTCCATCCATTTGCTTAAGAATGTCATGAATTCATTGTTTTTAATAGCTGAGTAATACCTAAAATGTATCTAGTGGGCCAGCAATATTGGTAAGCTATATTCATAAGATAAAGGCATTTGCTGCCAAACCAAAGATCCGAGTTTAAACTCCAAGACCCAAATGTTCCAAGGAGAGAACTTACTCCTGCAAGTTGTCTTTTGACCCCACAAGAATGCTATAGTCTCTCTCTCTATATATTCTCTCTCTCTATTCTCTCTCTCTCTATTCTCTCTCTCTCTCTCTCTCTCTCTCTCTCTCTCTCACACACACACACACACACACAGACACACACAAAATAAAATAAAATAAAATAAAATAAAATAAAATAAAATAAAATAAAAAAGAGTTTTCTTTCCCATTAGCATTATCCGATGTGGAGATTGTGGCTCAATCAGTTATCTTTATTTTTGCTGGCTATGAGACCACTAGCAGTGCACTTTGCTTTGCTTTGTATTTGCTGGCCATTCATCCTGATGTACAGAAGAAACTGCAGGATGAAATTGATGCCACTCTGCCCAATAAGGTGAGGAGGTGGGACCTATGGAGGGAGGAAGGGAAGAGGAGAAGCATTGGCATGAATGGTTACTTAACTCATACAGGGAGAAATTTTCAACAAAAAGTTTAAGCATTGAATCCCTCACCATCTTTATTTAGGGTTTCTGAAAAGAGAAAAACATGAGAAGCAGACACTGAATGATGCTTTTTTTGAAAATAACATTGTAGACAAATGTTGGGATAGATTGTCATAAAAACTACCAAGAAACATACACAAAATCACAGAGATATGAAAGTGTGAGCATTGGTTAGTCAAGTGTCTGGAGAGTAATCTCTGTTGTTGTCATGCACTGTGCTGTTTGTTGCCTGACTGTGACTGGCCTTGGCTGGACTGGACTAGGCAGATTGATTTAGTGTTGCCCTACACATCTCTCTCAACTCATATCTGAGTCCTGAGTCATACTATATTATGGTTTGTCCAAAAATCTAATATAGTCATAGTCACAAGTTTTACACATTGGTCTTTATAATTCTGCCCAAACTATGCTGTGAGGTTATCTGGTTTGTGGGATGGTCTATCTGGCTTATCATTCTCTTCAGAGCTCATAGGCAAGCCCCAAATGAACAACCAGAGGACTGGACCAGTGATAGAGAGTGGGATTGAATGATGGATCCTGTTTTCATTGTGACTTCTCCCAAGGTTGAAATTGAGCACTATGGTAGCAATGACTTTTATTTGTCTTTTGTCACCTTTAATATAAAAGACACTATTATCTCCTCAGATCATCTAAAATTTTATCCTATCAATGCTTCCAAACTTTATATATAATTAAAAGAACGGAAATATAGGATAATTTCAAATAAATACAATAGGCATTTGTTCTCTTCCTATGTTGTATATAATACTTTCAAGTACACATGTGAAATTATAACCGTGTATGTTAAATTTTTGTGACTCTAATTATCATGATATGTTAGTTATGGTTCTTCAAATTAAAAAATGTAGTATATAGTAAGTCTGATATTTTCATGTTCTGGGTTTGGGATTGTCACAGTCTTTTAGTATTTCCTAATTATCCTACATTTATTAAAGATGCATTGAGGATGTTAAAGTATATCAGTTACTAAAATAATTTGTAAATGCTAAAGTCCTTCATCAATGTGAGTTTTTCTTGGGAAGTGCAATAACTTAGTTCTCCACAGATGAAAGTCAGTTTACTTAACTTATGAAAACTCTGTCTCTCTTTACAGGTACCTGCCACCTATGATATTCTGCTGCAAATGGAGTATCTAGACATGGTGGTGAATGAAACTCTCAGATTATACCCAATTGCTGGAAGACTTGAGAGGGTCTGTAAGACAGATGTCGAAATCAATGGGGTGTTCATTCCCAAAGGGACTGTGGTGATGGTACCAACCTTTGCTCTTCACAAAGACCCAAAGTACTGGCCAGAGCCTGAGGAATTCCGCCCTGAAAGGTACAAGGATGTGAGAAAGAGAAACTACTCAGATCAAGACTAGTCCATTCTTGATGTGTGGTATCCTGGTGTTGAGGACACATAAATAGCAATAACAGTCTGTGTTTCTGGTTATCATCTATTTATCTATTCATCTACCTATTCAATCTTTTAAGGCAAGAGTAGCATCTATCACAGTGCTCTCAGTACGATTTTATTTTATACATTAGACTTTTCATTCCTAGATTTTTCCTTGCTCTTCCTTCAGCCACTCCCATTTTCTTCTTCTTCTTCTTCTTCTTCTTCTTCTTCTTCTTCTTCTTCTT